CTCGCCCGGAAAGAGCGCAATGATGGTGCCAACTTGCGCCAGTGAAGCAACGTCCTCCACAACTAGACTGAAGAAAAAAAGGACAGCAACTTGTCTGTTCCCCTTCCCCCAATTCCCCAGCGCTGTTCCCATCCCCTAATTCCCCAATTAAAAAAAAAATCTTTAAAAAAAAAAGTAGTCATCTGTCTCCACCTCATGTTTACTCTTTTTCTCAACCCGTTCAGAAGTCAGGTGGTAAAGAGTGGAGCTAACTACAAATGTGCGCTCCAGTCAGACCAGTGGGGCAGTGTGGACCAGGCCATGCCCGTGACCTCCCCGCAGGGCACTTGGAAAATCCGGATCTGACCTTGTGAACCTAACTGTGTGAGTTACCTTGCATGGTCCACTAAATCCCTTGTTCTCACTGGGCAGAGAAGACGGCGCTTGGGTGTCCCCAGAAGGAACCAATGAAAGCTGGCACATGTGACTGCCAGGGTTACAGGGACAGCGGTGAGCAACCAACCCCTGGGACAAAGTGGTCACTGGTGACTTTTGTACCATTTTTCCAGCCCTGACTTCCAGGACAGGGCCCCATGTATAGGTGCCCCTCGTGCAGCAGTCACGTCTCACATTTAATTCTGATAAAGCATCCTCACAAAGGAACACGCTTCTGAGTGAAAATACAACACCTGCCAGTCCATGTTTCTCATAAACAATAAACCACATGTTCTTTATTATTCAAATAACAGTCCACCAGGCTTTAAATAACCAAAAGCCCAAATCCTGGAGGAATATATTGGGCTGTCAGAAAAGTCATGACACATGTTTGCAACGAAAAACAAAAAAATATGTCATGAATTTTCCGACAACCCAATATTTCCATATCCAGTATATAGAACAATTTACTATCTTCCAGTGTGAACCCACAACACACCTTTTTGTTTTTTAACAAAAATTTTGTCTCATGGCCAGAAAATGTTACTCCATTTTACATCTTTAACTTGAAGGAGCCTTAGGGAATACATGGGAAGCTTCAGACCTCTGTCCCCGTTCCCACCCCTATATTCCCAAGATCCAGGGCAAGTCCTGGAGCTCCCCACAGGCCCCTCTGGAGTGTGGGGGTTGGAGGGGAAGGGGGGCGAGGAAGCTCTGGTCTGCGAAAGGAACTCCCAGCCAGGTGTGCTGGGGGCTCTTTAGCTCCCGCCCCCAAACCTGAGTCTCTAACCTCTAAACTCCTAAGGGCTCCAAAGACACCTAACTCCCCACCTGCTGTCACCTCCTCTCTTCCCAGGTGCTGTACTACAACACTCATATGTTCCCAAGTGTGGAGGCCAACGGGATATTTCCAAATGTAGGGGTGTGCCTTGTGAATGATGTGGGTAGAAAGCATGACTGAGACACACTAAACATTTCTTAATCCCACAAACAGCATTTCAGGGAGACCCTTGCCTGTGACCCTTGAAACTCATGGATCACACAACGAGATACACCATTTTCCTCCCGTTAATGCTTCTGGTCTTCAGCCCCAGATAGCGGCGGCTGCTCTTCTCTGGCTGCCCATATAGCATGTCCGCGAAAAACTCGGGCTCGTCTTTGGCCTCAGATCGGAAGGACAGGAAGCCAAACACAGGTCTGAGCTTGCCGAACAGATAGGCCACTGCTTCCGCTTCTTCTGAAGGTTCCTCGTACACAGGCTGCTTCATGTCCTCGTAGGCGGACAAAATCACTGCCTGAAACAAGTTGATCAATATGCAGATCATCACCAGCATAAACGACGAGAGGAACAGGACCCCGAGGACCCTGTTATGGGAGAATTCAGTGTTCTGAAAAGCTGACACGCAATAGGAGAAGATTGTCTGAGTGGCATGGATCAAGTTACTGTAGTTCCACTCATGCTGACCGAATACCAGGTAACCAAAAGCCATGTACACAAAGAAATACACGGACACCACGAGTGCCATGTGGCAGATGCCAGGCAGGGCGGTCTGGATGGCCCTCTGAGCCAGGCGCACATCGTAAAAGAATCTGGAATACCCGAGGGTCTTCAAAATGGTCAGAAATAACAGGAAACCCAAAACGATCCTCATGGTGCGATCCACTTGAGAAACCGCGTGAAAGGGAATGAAATCCACAGGGTTCGACAAGTAAAATCGAACTATGCCGGTGGCCAAGAGGTGTTTCCTGATAAAGAGCACGATCAACGCGGCAAACATGCATTTTAAGGCGAAGTTGAGCAAATTGTACACACTTCTCACATAGGAGGCCCTTTCTTGCACGATGATGTAGCCCTCATCGATGATGTAGGCCAAAAAGAAAATGAGGACGGCCACGTACAGGTAGATTTCTGCTGACGTGTTCCTGTTGAAATCAGCAAGTGAGAAAGAGTGCACAGATACGCTCGTGTTCACGACTCCTAATTGGGAAACCTCGAACACAACTGAAACGCTGCAGAGCAGATTTACATCTGGATTAAAAGTTGTTAGGTCCAGAATCACAGCCCACGTCTTCTCATCCAGCCAGTTGCTGCTCTGGAGTTCCTGGAGCCTCACTGTGGAATTAAATTGCTGCTGGTCTGGAAAGAAATGGAAAGCATAGCCCCCTGACCCATAGGTGTGTAGAAGTCCATAGGAATGATATACCCATCTCTTTTCTGGAGGCTTATAAGTAAACCCTTTGGTGTTCTTGTCTGTTGCCCGCTTATCAACTTGATTCCAAAAGCTAGTGTAGCTTTTTGTGTCTTCTGGGTCGGTGCCATATTTGGGATGACAGTGAATTTCTCCTTTGATGCCACTTGGCACAAAGCTTTTGGCAGGCAGACATGCTTTTTCGCCAGGCTTTGCCCTTACTTGCCGCATCAGTGGAAGGCCAAGGATTGTAGAGGAGCTGTCGGGAAGAAACGTCGGATTCAGGGCATTGTGAAACAAAGGCAACAGCACGCCATGGAGCCACCCATAGATGTCCTCCAGCTTGGTCACCGTAGCAAGATCCACTGAGAACTGATCGCGAATGAACTGATTATAGTAGAAGCTGTCAGTGTGGCGTAGGACAACGACAAGTCTCAACAGGAGGGCTAGAAAGATCAAGTGAGTTAGGATATAACTCAGGAACAGGACGGCTCTTCTCTTGGTCCTCTTCTTTCTTTTGAATATTCTGACTTCGTCTTCTGTGAGGGGCTGGTACATCCTGGTGCCTCGGAGGTAGGTGATGTACTTATGGCGCTTGTGTATCTCATCGGGGTGCAGCCTTGTGGTCTGCAGCATGATCTCAGTATAACAATAGTTGCTCACCCACGAGAGGTTTTTACAATACTTGAGCTTCTTTGATCTGATGCTTGACCGGAACATAATTTTCAATGGCTGCTCCAGAAACACGGACTGACAGAACGAACAAAAAGATGCAAAGAGCCATTCTATTGACTTTTCATAGCCGTAAGTTAGTCCGTAAAATATAATAAAGAATGAGGATACAGAAGAAGTGGCAAAAACCACGAACCATGCTACGTAAACACACCACCAAGGCAGAACAATCCTGGGCTTGGTGAGGGGCTCGGAAGGGGGCTGTGCAGAATAAACACCTTGATTGTCTGTTATGTTTTCGTTGTTGGCATTTGTATTAGTATTTGTTCTGGGGGTGTGTGGGACTTTGCTGTTTGCTTTCTTAAGCCGGTGCCTTTTCTTCAACTTTGACTTGACAGGAGACTTACAGAGTCGAGGATTTTTCCTAGGGGGAAGCTCTTGAGCCTCCGGGGAGGGTGCCTTCGGGAAGGGTGCCTTCGGGGAGGGTGCCTCCGGGGAGGGTGCCTCCTCAGTCTCGTGAGCATGCCACTTCTCCAAGCGTTCCTCCCAGTGTCCACTCACTGCTGCTATCCAGGACTGCTTCTGAGGGGACACCTCAGCTAGAGTCGCTTGAGGTTTCCTCTGGGAATGGGTGAACAAAAAAGTGATCATTAGTTGCACAGGGATGGTAATTAAGACACTTTGCAGTCCTATTTTCATCGATCTGATGTATCGGCTCCCTCCTGACGCAGCTTCTTTTTGTTTATTTAGATTAAAGAACATAATATTACACACGAGGGAGGCCAGCAACATTGCTAAACAGCAGGACAGCCTCTGGAGCCTATTGAACGGCTTAACGACAACACCAGCAAACACAGAGAACCACATGTGATTTGTCCCCAGCTTATCAGTCATATATATAAGGAAAAAGTCCATTCTCTTGAGAGGCTCGTCTGGGTCGGTCACTTGAAATGTTCTGTCCAAAGAGGTGTCAACAGAAAGCCACTTCCGACACATGAACAGCCAGACGTGTCTGCTAAACAGGTTTTCCACCTTGATTCTACTTAGATACCAGCTGGGGGCTCTGTCCTCGTTGTTGTGCCACACGCGAACGGAATGAATGTCCCCCAAGTCGCTTTTTGTCGTTAAGAGGAAAGTGTTGATGCTTCCTCGGTAGAGAGTTGTAAAGTCTGGGTGGCTTAAACAGTGGACATCGCTAGTGCTTTCTGTCCCCCTAAGTTGGACAAAGACACTGGCCCTGGTCCCAGACCCACAACGGCTTCCTGTAAAAACAGTGACTAGGTAACATATGTTATCATAAGGGTCGTTGTCAGGTAGCACTATGGCATGATCCCGAAGAAACTGGTCAGTTTCATCCCTGTGCAAGGCCCAGAAAGCTAGGACTATGTATATGAGCAAGATGGAGAGGACCGCGAAGACGGTCACGGGGTTTCGGGTAATGTTCTTGATGACCTCTAACCGCAGATCTATAGGATTAGGGGCCACAACCACCTTGGCCGTCAAATAGCGGGCATGCAGGTGAATGTTAGCTAGCTTTATTGCATCCAGCTGCCGCCTGGCCCTCCCTGCGTGCCTACAGATACAGTGCACTCTGTTCCAGGTGGTCTTGTGTCCGAGAACACAGGTATCTTCTCTCCAGTCACTCTGGATCCCGTACATGTCCAAGCAGTGAACGCTGAAAGCAGCAATTCTCACCAGCTTGTCACTGACCTTCATGACGAAACGAGGAGCCTGCAGCACCACGGCTATGGCATACTCAGATGCGTGGCTTCGCTGAGCTATGACTTGTAGTAGGGACGGTGGAAGGCAGAGCACACGGGCCACCTTCACGGTACAGGCTGGGTCAAACAGGCCGCTCTGGTTGGGAATGGGAGGGATGTCATGGGGCACGAGGAAGGTGGCAACCAAAGCAGTGGCGGTGACCTGCCTGCCGGCATACACCAATGCCGTGAACAACACGGTCACTTCCGTTACAATGTGAATCAAGAGCTCCTTCCCTGCCCTGCTGTCCACTTCAAAGCTAAACGCCCCCGTTGTCTTTCTCAAGGACTCGGCCACATTATTAGGCTCATTGTCGGGTCCCACTGTGACACTGAAAGCTGCAAGGCTCAACTTTTTTCTGCTGAGGTAGACTTCCGCCACATCAGGTGTGATCTCTATCACATCTCCTTTAGCCGTGGTTCCTGTCATTCTGAATCCAACCACATCTGCTGAAATGTTCTCCTGATAATTTAACCAAGGAAAGGGGTCCTCTGCAAACTCACAAAACATCATAGAAACTGGAGCATTTGCAGACAAAGCTGGGACACTGCTCATATTTAGTACTGGATGAAAACAATTTCGATAGTTTCTCTCATTGCCTAAGAGGCTGCTAACAACCCACTTTTCCATTTTCTTGACATACATGTTGAAGCTCGAGGTCCTCATTACAGTGGTTTCATTCCCCGGCACTTTACCAGTCAATATAGGGTCTGGTAGAGATTCTAATACATAGAAAGGGTCATCAACAACTTCGTGACGAGCAGTCATTTTAAGGATATTAGATAAACTTGTTAATATTCCAGTGCTCACGATTTCTATTTGTTCAGAGTGAATGTGCTTATCTTTCTGCTGATGCTGTTGTAGGGCTTGATTTGCTTGCCAAGTCCTCATTGTGGAAAGATTCTGAGCAACTCGAGTGAATTCAGAGGCTTCCTTGGTTAATTCAGCAACAGCCACGACTACCTGGCTAATTTCCACCAAATTGCTTATAGGGAGAATGAAAGTCTGATTGACGAGATGTTCGCGGAGTCTCAGTTTGTCCTCTTGCAGAGTTGATTCGGGTTTCATGTTATTCAAAACGGAGGCTACTATATACATTAAGTAGCCCGCAGACAGAAAATCTTGCTTTTGAAGCAAAGTGGATATCGCTGAGTTAGGTCCCATGGTGAAATTGAGTAATTGATACAGCACAGTCGTTGATGAGTTTTTGTCAGTAGGCGCCTGCACAGTGGTGTACAAAGTCACCTGAGAAAAAGCTCCTAAAGAGTCGTACACCTGGACATAGATCTTCACGGCGTAACGATTGGCCAGCACGCCGACAGGGAGGAAGGAAGGGGGTGATGTGGGCCCATTGCCCATGTACAGGATGGACCCCAATGTGTTCTCTTTTAAAGAACTGATTTCACCAAAACCGTGCAAATCAGAAACTATCATTTTATATGTAAGAGGGGTATTCTGATCCTTAAAATTACCACATTGGATAACAAACTTAGTAAAAAATGCAATTCCATTAGCTGGATTAATTTTGCATTCTCCGATTTCAGGGACATGGTTAATAATAAAGGGATGCCTGAGGACCAAGTTCACTCCACTCCAAGTTGCTAGATCTACAGAAATCCAAAACTTAGCTTCAAGAAAGTGCCTAAAAGCAAACGCTTTTATAGATAAATAATCGCTATTCCTCCCTGTTGCAGTTTGCCCCGTCCAATTAAATCCCATCTCATTACCTGAAGGAGACAGAATCGACCACTTATAGACATCGTGGCTTATTGCACAATTTGTGCAATTAAGAAACAAAGAAAACCTATTGGATATAACCAAAACTGTATCACAATTTTCAATACACGAAATATGTGCTGTAGGTGTTGGTCCTTGGAGCACTTGTACCCTTTTATCAGAAAATGCTGTTCTGCCACTCTTTTGTATCACCATTCTGAAAAAATACACGTGGTCACCTTTAAGTGTTTCTGGCAAAAGTGTTAGTACAGGACCAGAGGCCGATGTCCACTTGAGATCAGCCTGTGCTGGAAGACAAACGTCCTCGCTCGTAACTGTTATTTTATCTCCGTCATAGTTGCTTGAATTTGTGGTACAGTACCAAAAAAAATGGAGCCCCTCTAAAGGGTTGTCTGCATCCGGATCAGAGGACATCGACCCATTCAGAACCAGCCCATCTGTGAAATTAATTATTATGTCGGAATCCCCAAGAATAACTGCCTTCAGGGGACTTCTAACAATAGTGACATAGATGTAATCTGAGGCTCTTATCACATTCGCTGTTGGATTCATTATGGCCACCGCCACTGAGAATCTGAACACATACACCCCCCAAGATAAAGACTCCTTGGGGATGTGCACAGCTGTAGGATCTCGCGGGAACTGGAGTTGTGGTACATTCAGAGGTTTAGTCCAGTCCGGCACATCAGATACAGAAGGCACAGAAAAAACATTCCAACGATGAACAGTGGTCTTGGGGAACGGGCAGTCATACTCAACGGTGGCATTGAGGGAAGCTTCCATCTTCCTGGTCAGCACCAGGGGAGACCCGTCTTTGTTCCCGTTGATCTTGACCTTTTGGATAACACAAAGCCCCTGTGATGACAACTGACAGGACACCGAAGATTCCATGGCTTGGGAACTGTCCGAGTTGACAGCTTCTAAAACAACAGGCGTGGGCCCATCTGTAGGACACTTGGTTTGGGCCACGTAGCCCGAGCTGGGGTGAGGGCCGCCAGGCTCAATGGAGCGGGGTGACATGTGAGAGGCAGAGGAGGCTTCCCGAGGCCTGAGCAGCCCGAGGAGAAAGGTCCATTCCAGATGCCCAAGCAGGCGCTGCAGGGGGACGAACCACCGCAGGGAGAGCCGGCCTCGTGGCGCGGAGAGGTGCAGGTCCACGTGGGTGGGCTCCGCGCGGCGGGCGCGGCGGGCGCGGAGCAGGACGCGCGCGTGGAGGCAGTGCTGGCGCGGCCCGCGGGAGAAGCAGAGGCCACGGCCACCGCTCAGTGCGGCGCCGCCTCCCGGGAACGCGCGGGGCCGCAGGCTGAGGCGGACGCAGCCGTGGAGCAGCCCGAGACCCGGGGCGGCCCTCCCCAAGCGCGGTGGGGCCGCCAAGCCCTGCGCCGAGACGCACACCCTGGCCTTGGACGGGGCGCCATGGGTCGCGGCAGGCGTCCCCGGGACGGGGACGGTGGCCCGGGCCCCGCGAGGAGCCGGGGACGGAAGGAGGTGGCTGCAGCCCCAGTCTAGGCCCAGGCCCAGGCCCAGGAGGAGGAGCGCGGGCCCTGGCCGCATGGAGCCCGCCTGGCGGAAGCCGGGAGGCGCCGCGGAGGCCGCAGGGGTGGGCCAACGGCCGAGGGGGCGCGGGCCACGGGGGTCACGGGGCAGCAGGGTCACGGGGTGGCGTGGTTGCTGAGGTTCCCCGAGCGGTGAGTGGGGCGTGGGGCCCAGGCTGCGGACGCCCCGACCCCTTCCCACGCCTGCGTACACCTCAGATCAGGGCCTGCTTGTGGGATTAATTCGGCCCAGTTTCCTGACCCACTGGGAAGGCCCCTTAGAAGGATTCCCACTCCCCTGGAAAAAGAGGAAACGGTGGGAATCAGGAGGGACTGGGCACTCCCTGAGCTCCCAGGGAGGCCTGACTTAGGGTTTCTTACTTTTCTTTTTCTGTTATACTTTCTTAAGGTGAAACCCTGAGGCATGGATTTTTAAATTTTTCTTCTTTTCTAAAGAAGCATCTAATGTAACTTTCCTGCCAAACACCGCTTAACTGCATCCAGCATCTTTGTTGTATTTTTATCCTTCAATTACAAGTATTTTTAATTTCCCCTCTTTGGGTGTGGCCTGTGAATTAAAAATGTGTTGTTTAATTTCCAGACATTTGGAGTTTCCGTGAAAATCTTCTGGTTGTTGATTTCTAATTTAATTCTGTAGTGGTCAGAGGATATATTTATTCTGTATGATTTTTATCCCTTTAAATTCATGGAGACTTGTTGGAAAGCCCAGGGTCTAGCCTGTCTGGATTGTATGTTCCATGTGCATTTAAAAGTGTGTATTCTACTGTTTGGGTCAATTACATCAAGCTGGCTGTAGTTTTTTTCCATAATTTTTTTTTCTTTTTTAAAAACATTTTATTGGGGAATTGGGGGAGGGGAACAGACAAGTTGTTGTCCTTCAATCTTAGTTGGAGGTGGGGTGGGGGGCTGTCTTTGGGTAGCCCACCATCCCATGCGGGAGTAGAATAGGCAACCTTCTTGTTGGGAGCACTGCTCTCACCAGCTGCGCCATCCTGCCACCTGTTGGCAGCTCAGCTTCAGTGCAGCTCACTGGCCCATGTGGGAATTGAAAACTAGACCCTGTTGCTCAGAGCTCCCGCTCTTAACCAACTGAGCCACTCCGCCGGCCCCTGGCTGTAGTTTTTCTGAGATCTTCTATGTCTTTTCTGAATTTTTGTCTAGTTATTCTATATAATTGTTGAGCGAGGGTGTTAATTTTTCCTACTATGACTATGGAATTATCTTTCATTTTTTAATTCTGTAAATTTTGGCTTCATGTATTTTAGGGGTCTATTTGTTAGGTGCATACACATTTGTGGTTATGTGTTGCTGATGAATTCCTCCTTTTATCACTATGAAATGTCTGTTTATCTCTGGTAATAATCTTGATTTTGAAGTCTATTTTACCTGACATTAAAGTAGCCACATTATAAGTAAATTATGCCTCAGTAAAACTAAGGAGAAAATGAGGTAAAATAAAATAGCCACACTAGCCCCCTTATCCTTACTGTTTATATACCATATATTTTTTTCATTAATTTACTTTCAACGTATTTATGTCTTCATATTTAAAGTGGTCCTTTGTAGGCAACATTTAATAGGGTTTTATTTTTTTATCCTGGGTGTGAAGTGGCATTTCCTTGTGGTTCTGATTTGCATTTCCTTGATGACTAATGATGTTGAGCATCTTTTTAAGTGTTTATTGGCCATTTGTATATTTTATTTAGATAAATGTCTAATCACATCTTTTGCACATTTTTATTTTATTTATTTATTTTTAAGGTTTACAGCAGAGGATGGTTTATTAGGGTAGAAAGTAACAGCTATCAAAACAAGAGGGGGTCCCGGGACGACTGGGTTGCCCTCTTTTGCTCATTTTTAAACTGGGCTGTTTGTCATTTGCTGTTGAGTTGTAAGAATTCTTTACATATTCTGAATACTAGACTCTTATCCAATATATGATTTGCAAATATTTCTTCCATTCCATAGTTTGTCTTTTCACTTTCTTGATAAAGTCCTTTGATGCAGAAAAGTTTTTAATTTTTATGAAATCCAGTTTTTCTCTTTTTCTTTTGTTGCTTGTCCTTTTGGAGTCATTGCTAAAAAAACAAACAAACAAACAAAAACCACTGTCCAATTTAACATCACAAAGATTTACCCCTAGGTTTTCTTCTAAGAATTTTATAGTTTCATCTCTTACATAAGACAAGTAATATTTTCATGCAATATTTTCGAAAATCAAAACGCAAAAAATTCACGGTCCAAATATCAACATTTTAAATAAGGACAGGATCTGACCCTGCACTTGAACTACTACTTGGCTCCTGCATCCTGAGGGAAGGTGGGGAGGGGTTAGATTCAATTGGGAGAGAGCAGTGGAGGCTCGAGGTTTGTGGCTGCTGGCAGAGCTCAGCCGGAGAAGTTGATGTTACGGTGAAACCACCGCTGCAAGTCCTTGCGAGGGAGAGGGGATGGGACCCGGACACGGGTTGGATAACACAGCAGAGCCAGTCGCATGGGATTTGGCCAAAAATGACCTCTATGAATGTGTGTGTGCGGGTGGGGCTGCAAAGAGCTCGAAAGCGACCGCTGTCCTAGGAATCTCTG